CTCTCTCTCTCTCTCTCTCTCTCTCTCTCTCTCTCTCTCTCTCTCTCTCATAGGAGAAAACGTGGTGATTAATGAAAATAAATGAAACACCGTTACCACTTTACAACGCAGAGAGCCAAATCTGGTTTGTTTAATTCAAACTAACGAGGAACAAATAGCAGACTAATCACTAAATAATCCTAAACTAATGAAAAAATCTCTAATCAAGTTTTATTTAATAGCTTAGAATTAGTTTAATAAATCAGTGATCAATAACATTTACAATGAGTGAAGAACAATTTGGGGATTATTAATAATCAAGACAAAATCACCTAATAGTTTATTTTTATTGAGCATTAAATAACTTGTTTCTTTTTTTGTATTTACAAAAACAAAGCCAATATTTTAATATATGTATTTAGCTTCTGTATCTACTTGAATTTTGTAAAAAAAAATTATTGTGACAAGTAATTTTAAACACCTCTGCACAGCAAAAACATCACATGACTTTTATTTGGTAATCAYACAAGCCAGTCAGTATTAAACTAGTATATTCTTTGAAGGACCGTGTATAAGTTATAGACCAAAGTTTGAAACTAAGATCTGATGCAACATTCTGAGTATGTGCTGGGGATCACGCTCAGCTGCTTCTGCACCAAATTTCATCTCAATATCTGTGATAAAAACAAAAAACAGTTTTGAGAATAAATGGTTACAAATCAATTATGAATCAATAACATGAGACATTTTAATTTGTTTCTGAATCTCATTATTTTCTCCAATTCTCCAAAGTATCATAAGTTATTCTTGTTTTCTTACTTCCTTATTGTTTATTTATTTAACAAATATCTAATTATCTAAGTATAAAATTAACCACATCACTGAACTGCAAAATGTCACAGTTTCCAAAATTGAATTTTTCCATATCTTTAGAAAACTGATTTCATTCCCCCCGCCTTGTGCGAATCCACTCATGATCTGAGGTCACCYATGAGGCAGGGGGAGAGAGAGAAAGGGCCAAACAGGAACAGGAAATCTTTTGGAGAAGAACAGGAAACTTGTGTGGGAGTCAGCTGGTCTCTCTCAGACCCATTTTGTGTTGCTGAGGTACAGGATTTTAGGTTCGAGCATGGCTCACTTTCTACATTTTACAATTCATAACAGTGATAAATAAAAATAAAAAGGGAGATAAAATAAAAAAACTAAGTGAGAGAACTGATATTTTGTCAGCTGAAGTTTTTCAGAGTGTGGCGTCTGATTTCAGCAAAACTCATCAATGTTACACGTTTATTGTAATGCACTAACATTTAGCCCACATACTGCAAAGAATGATGGCCCTTTGGTGGTCCAGATGTGGTCCGAGCACAGGCCAGCACCACATAAATCAAACCACAACTGGACCAGTTGTGGCATGCTGTTTGTACAACATTGCTAGATCTGGCCCACACCTGCCAGGTGGGTTTTCTGTATTCATTCATAACCCAAGAGCTTCTCTTTTGTTTCACATTCAACTGAAACTACAGTTAAATTATTTAGACTGTGGTCTTAAATTTTTGCTCATCGTTTTTTTTAACATCATCAGTTCTTTTTGTTCAGATGCAGATTGTCAATAAACCAGCCTCTGCTTTACCAGTGTCTTCTCAATCATTTTTTACAACAATACACAGAAAACAAACATTTGTGYGAGTAGTTTTGATTGAGTGGTTTTCAAATGTTTACATCTGAGGACAATAAAACTCAAATGATAACGCTCGGCACAGTTCGACTGAACAGGAAAAACTCAAGAAAAGGGATTTTGACTCATATTGTGTTTTTTTATCTAATCTACAAAGCAGCAACAATGACACAGGATGAAGTTAAGTCACACACACACACACACACACACACACACACACACACACACACACACACACACACACACACACACACACACACACACACACACACATGTTTGCACAGCTATCCATTTGGGGACATTCCATTGACTTCCATTACATTTCTACAGCCTAACCCTGACCACAAACCCTAAGGCTAACCTCACAGGTACCAACCTGACCCTAAAACTCTAAAACTAACCTAAACTCAATTCACATCTTGGTCCTAAACCCAGCCCTAACCCAAAATCAGCCTCCGAAGCCGTGGGGACCGGGCTTTGGTCCCCACAAGGAACATTCGGTCCCCACCAGCCTGTATTTTCCTGAGAAATCATCCCCACCAAGTAGCAAAAACAAGGAAACACACACACAGATGCAGCCTAATGTTCTGTGTTTGAGTGGCTCATTGTTCTCCGGTATACAGAACACAATATCCAACTCTTGTAATAGAGGTTAGATTAATTGCTGACAAATCTGTATTCAGCAGTTCCCTTTCTCTCTGCCTGACAGATTTATGACAGAGATTGATGGAGAGGAGGGACGAGCTGAGAGCCACTTCTGTTCAGTTTGAAAGGAGGACACCCGATCAGCGAGCCAAAAGATAGAAGGAAAAGATAAACGTGAATGTTTTGGCTGAATCCAAACTCATGACAGAACYGCTGTGGCATAAGAGCTTTTATTTCAGGGTGTTTTGCCTGAAAACGTTGCCCTGTAGGAGGCTAYGTCTTCTTTGGAAGAAATCTTTTTGTGAACATACTTGATGGGATCATTTTAGTTTGAGGTGCACAGAATTTTATTAGCTTAAAAGCAAAACAAGATGGTTGTTACCTTCTGTGCTAAGAAAAATCAGCTGGTCAAAGCTTTATTTAGTTTTATTTACTTTGCAGAATAAAACTGTGATTAATTTATTTAAGATGAAAATGCATAATGGTCAGTTTTTCTACAGTTATTTGTCAGAAATATGAAATTTTGTCTAGAAGTTCTACATTTAGCTGCTGTTCCTTTGTCCACAGAATCTCATGTAAATAACAGTGTAATGCAAAACAGACAACAATGTAAAGATTTATAAAATGTGATTTTCATGATCTACTGCTAAATCTTTTTGAGGCTGGCACTGCTCTCAGGCAAATCCAGGTAGCTTGTAAATCAGATCAGGATCAAACTCTGTTTCTCCAAACTGAGCTCGTTCAAAGAGCTATCTACAACAGGTAAGATATTAACTGTTYACCAGACAAACATAGAGCTGTGTGAATAAAAGTTGCAGTGATTTAACAAGTCAGGTAAAATAGTTTTTATCCTAATGTTTAGGGCAGATTTGTACAAGAACAAGCTACATTGTTAAACTTATTGGTTGTTTTTTTAAATATGTCTTTAACTCTGACAGGTTTATTGACAAACTCTAAAGAACCAGAATGAGAACTCTAACTTGTTATAAACACTTATTGTGTAGAAAACAGAGCAGTGCATTCCAGCTGGAAGTGCTTTACAATTGCATGGTCTTACCTAATTACCTCGAAAGCATAAATCTCCAGTCAAAGCTATCAGAACCCCAGCTGAYTGGCTGAAAGTGGACACAAACAGATGAGCTGAGTGTCAGACAAATTTCACAGAGCTATGTGGGGGATCAAAAGCATTTTAAAGGATCCGTCTCATGCTGCTGATCCCCTGATTGAGTGCACGAGATAAAAAACCATCTTAAATGTCTTGTCCATCACCCCCCCTTCATGGATGTCACAGCCAGAAGCGTCTCATTGGCTGAGGCAGGAGCCGGCCAGCTGCTTGTAATCAGGAGCATTTGGGAGTGGGGGGGGGGGGATCACACGACACCCCCCACCCCCACCCCCGAGGCGCACATCCACTCATAGGTTTACACACAGAGTGCAGCGCATCTTTAACCTAAAACCTCTTGCCACAGGCTACTCCTCTGCTGCTAGGATCACCTCCAGATGTGCACCAAGAGCTCCCACCCAAGGATAAAACCTGAGGGAGGGGGGGTCGTTGTACAAGAGGATTATCCTAATAAAAATAGATGTTTTATGGAAGATTAAATATTGCAGGATCGTGTTTATTTTTATTTAAAAACAGGCCACACTTTTGAGTTTGAATAAGCAGGAGAGAAGTTCTCAGACGGAATCTGCTGAAAAACAGTGTCTCTGCTGCCTCTTAGTGGAGCAGCTCTTTAAACACACCAACTCACATAAAGGGGCAGTTCTGATCTTTTGAAGTGGGYTCTGTGGAAAGCTTATGAACATTTATTATCTTACCTGTTGTAGGTAGCTCTTAGAATGACGTCAATTTGAAAAAATCTAATTCTGTTTTACGAGTTAAAGCCTGAGTGGGACAAGAAACAACCAAACCCATATAGTTGTAGTTTCATCCTGCTGTAGTCAGACGTAGGCTGTGTAAGTTACCTATATTTAGAGGTCACTGAACGAGCGATAG